CTGTCTGCTGTCAGCACAGAGCCCATTTTGGATCCTCTGTCCTCCTCTCTCTCTGCCACTCCACTGCTCGTGCTCTCTGTCTCAAAAATAAATAAACATTTTTTAAAAAGTAAAATTAAAGAATAAATGAATTCCATAAAGTTTCAGGATACAAAATTAATATGCAGAAATCTGTTGCATTTCTATATACTAACAAGAAAGTGGCAGAAAGAAAAAGAAGACAACTCCATTTACAGTTGCACAAAAAAGATTAAATACCCAGGAATAAACTTAACCAAGAAGTTGAAAGACCTATACTCTGAAAACTACTTTCATCAATGAAAGATCTCAAACAATCTAACAGTACTACTTTGATGAAAGAAATTGAAGATGACACAAACTGAAAAATATACCATGCTCATAGCTTGGAAGAATTAATGTCCATATTACCCAAAGCAGTCTGTAGATTCAGTGCTATTCCTATCAAAATACCAATAGTATTTTTCACAGAACTACAACAAATAAACTGAACGTTTGTATGGAACCACAAAAGACACTGAATAACCAAAGTAATCTTGTGAAAGAACAAAGCCCAGTCCCAGATTTCAAGATATACTACAAAGCTATAATAATCAAAACACTATGGTACTGGCTCAAAAATAGACACACAGATAATTGGAACAGAGCAGAGATCCCAGAAATAAACCCATACTTATATGGTCAACTAATCTATGACAAAGGCAAGAATCTACAATGGGGAAAAGACAGTCTCTTCACTAAATAGTGCTGGAAAAACTGGACAACTACATGCAAAAGAATGAAACTGTACCACCATCTTACACCATACACAAAAAAAGACCCAAAATGGATCAAAAACAAATATGAGACCTACAACCATAAAACTCCCAGAAGAAAACATAGGTAGTAATTCCTTTGACATTGATCTCAGCAACATTTTTCTAGATATGTCTCCTCAGGCAAGGGAAACAAAAGCAAAAATAGACAATTGGGATTATACCAAAGGAAAAAGCTTTCAGAGTGAAGGAAACCATTAACAAAATGAAAAGGTAATCTACTAAATGGAAGAAGATATTTGCAAATGATATCTGATAAAAAGCTAATATCCACAATATATAAAGAACTTACACAAGTCAACACCAAAAATGCAAATTATCCAATTAAAATGGGTAGAGGACCTGAATAGACATTTTTCCTAAGAAGGACATACAGATGGCCAACAGACATGAGGAGATGCTCAGTATCCCTAATCATCAGGGAAGTGTGAATCCAAATCATGGTGAGATGCCACCTTAGACCGTCTCTGAATGGCTAAAATTAAGACACCACCAAGTGTTAGTGAGGATGTGGAGAAAAAGGAAACCTCGTGCACTGTTTGTGGGAATATAGATTGGTGCAGCCACTGTGGAAAACAGTATGCAGGTTCCTCAAAAATTTCAAAATAGAATTATTTTACAATCCAGTAATTCCATTACTGGTTGTTTGCCTAAAGAAAACAAAAAGACTAATTTGAAAAGATACATGCACCCGTATGTTTTTTGCAGCATTATGTACAATAGCCAAGATATGGAAATACCCTAAGAGTCCATCAGTAGATAAATGGATAAAGAAGTGATATATGTACACAATGGAATATTATTCAGTCATAGAAAAGAATGAGATCTTGCCATTTGTGACAACATGTGTAGACCTAGAGGGTATAATGCTAAGTGAAATATGTCACACAGAGAAAGACAAATATCATACAACTTCACTTATATGTGGAATCTAAAAAATAAAACAAATGAATAAAGTCCATGAGGCTGTCATGTACAGCATGGGAAATATAGTCAATATTATTGTAATAACTTTGTGTGATGACAGATGATAACTAGATATCACATCATTTCATAATGTATAAAAATATTAAATCACTATGATGTAAACCTGAAACTGATAGGATATTAGTTTTTCAACTAATTATTTTTCAACATTATAAGTCAACAGCAGGCACTTTTGAATCATGAAAGCATTGGTGGCATTTTTTGTCACCTGATCTCTGACCTTCTGTCCTTGTCCTCAGTACCTGTGGATGGAACCACAGCCCTGAGGGGAGCCTTCTCAAGCCTGGCAGCTGGGACTCAAACCCTTCCTCCCGGAGCCTGTGCCCTCCTTCTCCCTGGGGAACTCCTGTTCTGCTGGTCTCCAATTCTGTCACCTTGGGAATGGAGAAGCAGACCCTTGCTGGAGTTTGCCTTGCTTTACAGGCCAGAGAGATGATGGTGGGCCTGGCCTTGCTCATGGGGTGTGAAAGGAAGAAAGTGGCCCAGAGAATGCTCTTCAGAGACACCCAGTTATTCCAGTCACATATTCACCCATTCTGGGGAAACAGTCACATTCAGAATGGACCACCTTTAAGTCTCTCCCACAGAGAAGCTGCCGTGAATAAGGAGCTAGAGTATTCCACAAATTCAGGTTGTGCCGTGCATTCTCACAAAATAGTCCAGCTGCAGACCTGTGCGTGAGGCTGAGGGAAGTTTGAAAAACCCGGTGAATCTTCATAAAGTATCGTAAGTCAGCTCAGCTGCAAAAAAAAAAAAAAAAAAATCATTGAAGGAAAAGCACCAATGTTCCTCTTTACACATTGGCCTCTTAGCAGGTGCTAGCTGTCTGGGCACCTTGGAGCCCATCATGGCCGAGAGAGCCTCCTAGACACTGTCCTTGCAGGTGTTTTGAAACTATTTTTAGTAACATACCACACTTCTTAACTGGAAGGCTTCCTGCAGTGGCCCCATGACAGGTTGAAGACAACCTGGCTAATGCAGCTACAAACAGAACAGAGGGCAGGAGTCCTCCACATGGTGCCAGCTTCTCATGGGTTTCTCCTCGTCCCCCCATCTCATCAGTTCCTCTCTCTGGAAGCACCCTGGCAGGAGCGCTGGGCCAGGCTGCTTGGCCGGGAGCAGGCAGTGGCCAGATGGTAGAAGTGTTGGCTTTGGAAGGACGGCCTTTCTCTTCCAGCTGCCCTGAGGACCCCAGCCCTGACCCAGCTTTGATGTGAACTCAGGCCCGAGCAGAGCAGTTCCTGGGCCTGTGCCCTATCTTATCCCTCTTCTCCCAGCACCAGCTTTGGGGAGCACTCTATGCTGTGGACAGAGGGGGCTGCGTGTCTGAACCCTGTCTCTTGAGGCCTCCCTATGTTCCTGTGCCCCAGCCTTTGCCGTAGGACACTCCCTACGAACCACTTCCTTTGGCTCCTGCACAGGCCCCAGCGATCAGCTTCTGCCTGTCCTGGGCTTCTGAGAATTTCCACTGAACTCATTCTTCAGAAGCCCTGTCTCTTCTAGTGCAGTCTTCTCCTCCTCTGGCTCCTACGTTTCTTGCCCCACTCACTTGTTTGCCATCTTCACGTGCTCCCTTCCTCTGCACCTCTTTGACCCGGATGAGGCACAAGCAGCTCAGGCGGTGTTCGGTTTCCTCCTGCCCCTGAGGCTTGCTCTCTCTGCCTTCTGTCCTGCTCTGAGCTCATGTTTCTCCCTCCTTCTCCTTCTGTCTTTGTTGCTGGACCACAGCAGTCACAGGTAAAAAGTTAGCTAGCATCTGAAACGCAGAGTTAAGTTCTGTTGTTGTTGAACTCAAATGAACTTAAATTCAGCCAACAATGCAGATTGCCTACTTCAGCTGCAGGGAGGTGGACACGTGTGACTAGAGACCGTGAGTGGAACAGTGTGGAGGTTGAGCTGTCTCATAAAGATGACACGAGGTCCAAGTGGCCAGCCTCCACAGTCAGCTGTCATGGCTGTGCCACTGCGGTGCTTCCAGCCCAATGGAGGCCCTGGGATCAATGGCAGTCTCTCTGCACTTGGGGTCTAGGAAGTACATTAACTCTTTTAAGGTGTCTCAGGTAGGTTTATGCAGTTTCATCCACAGAGACAGACTGTGTCTGACAGAGGTTACCCACAGCATCTGTGATTCTGAGTAAAAACCATGCAGTGGTAATATGGACACCAAGAGCCACAGTGAACCCCACCTAGGCTGGTGGCCTGCCCCCCACCCCCCAGCAGAGCCCCTCCCAGCTGAGGTTGAAGAGAGCTAATGCCATCAAGGTATGCCCCACGGTATCCTGTGCTGCCTGAGCATGTGCCTTGACTGCCGGTCAGAGGTGGTGGCCCTGGATTGAAGGGTATCCAGGGCCACGTGATAGTCCGAGGGCAGTCGGTCACCCTACCAGAAGGCCCTCTGTGGCGATGGAGAGGAAGCTGACCTTTGGCTGCTGTGGCTAATCAAATATATGAGTGGTCTATAGAAACTGCCACACACAAAATGAGTATGTCGATTACTGTCAAAATCAGGGCTTCTTAATGTGCTTGTGTCTAAAAAAATCACAGCAAACTCAACACAATTCAGTTGTGAGATTCCCACCCTTCCCTTTTTGCTGAGCTGAAATTCTTAGGAAAATACACCTAAGAATGCCTTGAGGCTGTATTTAGCAGAACTAACAATTCCTGTGTTTCCTGCTTCCCTTGAGAATCAGGTGTTAAAACCTTAGATGTCTATTAAAAAGCAAGTGGACCCAGGTTGCTAGCCCAAGAATGCCATTTATAAAGCTGTTTGTGTGAAAACAGGTGGCATTTTCCTTTCAGCACTTTCCAGTTCTCATATTCGTGTGAGCCTTTTGCAGACAGGCTGCAGCACGGCTTGCCTCTGCTTCCCCACAGCAAATACTCGCACAGCCTGTGACTGGCATTCCAGGAAATGTGGGGCTTATTTGTAGCCTTTGTGAGTCTGGGGCCATTCTGTCAGAAGAGGGTGATCATTAGGAAATGACTCTGCTCCCTGGATGGCTAACCTCTGAGAACAGACTGTCTTTGCTCATCACCTTGAAAACAAAACGAGAGTCATTGAAAGCTAACAGGAATGCAGCTGCTTTTCGGGGAAGGACGGGTCCGGTTGGTCCACTGGACAAAGAGATGAATCTGTCTAGTTAGTGTTTTAGTTTTCTTTCTCCTCTGTACTCATTGCAGATGGCTCCAACCGATGAGCTAAGCCACGAGATTGCTGGCTTTCTTGACCAGACCTTGTACAGATGGGATCGCCTCTGCCTGGAAGCACCCAGGTCAAGAAAACTGGCCCGAGAGCTCCTGGCTGAGCTGCACGGTCACATCCAGCATCGGCCGGCTGCACATGGAGCTGCCGTGCATGCAGCAGGCTCCCCGAGATCTCGTGACGAAACAATGAGACTGATTCGTCGTGGAACGAGTAGTAAGGATGAGCCATAGACATCTTGGTGAGAGCTGCTAGAACATATTTTATGAAGTCAGAAGACAAATTCCTTAGCCCAAACTCAGTCTGGCTTATTAGTTCATGACTAGATTGTGCCTTGAGCATTCCCTACCTGCTCAGCCCAGCTGCCAGAGAATCACTGAAGACAAGCCTTGAATAGGAGAACACTTTCATTTCCCTTTTTCCTTATATCACATGAAGATACACAACTATTACTTGAGTGGTTCAAAGTCTTTGGACTGAGAAATTGGTCATGAACCACGATCAGTTTAGAAGTAACTTAGTCCTTTTCCACAGATCTCTTTTTTCAGAAATCAGACTACTGTTATTGGTGTTTCTTTTAATCCACAGGGCTTTGAGATAAAGCCACACTCTTGCTTCCCTAAGAAATTCTTCACTAAGGAGTCTCTCGGGCACCTCCGAGGGGAAGCAGAGGCCATCAGGCCCAGTAGCAAGTGGTAGTGACTGGGGCCACTGCTGTGGTGGGCAGTCAAGCCAGCTCGGCTGTGGAGAACAGCACTGCTTAGCAATGAAATAAAGCCGGTTCCAATGCTAACTCTTTTTGCTTTCTGTTTGCTAAACACTCCCACCAAGGGAGCTCACATTGCCTCAGAGAGGACTGATGTGAGAATATAGGATATGTTCTGGAAGAAGACATTATATTTCAGTTGTCTAATTAACTGAGGTGGGAATTAGAAATTCCTAATAAAGAACAGGTAACCCCAGGGGCGCCCGGGTGGCTCATTTGGTTGAGCATCTGACTTCAGCTTGGGTCATGATCTCACGGTTTGTGGGTTCGAGCCCCACGTTGGGCTCTGTGCTGACAGCTTGGAGCCTGGAGCCTGCTTCTGATTCTGTGACTCCCTCTCTCTCTGCCCCTCCCCTGCACATGCTCTGTCTTTCTCTGTCTCTCAAAAATAAATAAATATTTTAAAAATTAAAAAAAAAAATAAGTAACCCTAATATTTATTTCACATCAATTGAAAATTTTTTCCCCTTCCAAGTTTGTTTTTTTTTCTTACATGAGCTAAAATCCTCCCAGGACCTCACTTTTTTTTTTTTTTTTTTTTTTTTTTTTTTTTTTTTTTTTTTTTTTTTTTTTAAGTTTAATCTTCGAGTGAGCAAGCAGGAGAGGGGCAGAGGGAGAGGGAGAGGGAGAGAATCCCAAGCAGGCACTATCAGTGCAGAGTCCGATGTGGAGCTCAAACTCAGCAAACCATGAGATCATGACCTGAGCTGAGATCAAGACACCCAGGTGCTCCTCAAGTTTATTCTTCATATGCATTGATTGTGTACTCTTTTGTGTGTACACACTCTTTTGTGTGGGTCGAATCAGTCAGGACTTTTATGGCTACTTTGTTAGTGTTAGTAATCTCTGAGTCTCCTGCAATTTGAGCTCCTATTTGAGGTGTGAATAGCGTTTTGTTGTATTAGAGGTCGTGGTTTTAGGGGAGTTTCCGTTTCGGTATATGGATCTACCTAAAGATCTGAAAAACTCAAGAACTTTTAACTTTTGAGAAATACTGCAGTTTGAACAGTGCACTGATAAAATACTTTAGTCATGACTACCAGCATTCTTACTTTCATAGAAAAAGTCTTCCTCAAAATGTGTAGTAGTTTTGATAAAGGAGTTTTAGGCTTCATTTAGAGTCAAGGATATCTCTCCTATGTTGTTTGCCATGGAAGCTGTGACCAGCCTCTGTGGGCATGAAGAAGGGAATCTGCTTAGTGGCTGTGAATAGTCCCTAAAGCTTGATTCCCACCAGGAATCAAATTCCCTTGTGGGTGTGCTCCACTAGAAATCCAGTCATGCTGTATTCCACAGCAAACAATATAAACAAGACTGTTACCCACCTCAGACTGTTGAAGCTGCATTTCTGGAAGGTTCCTTCCTGTCCTGACCTTACCTCAGCCTGTTTGTAGTATCTTCAGTTCCTTTACAAAGCCTCTAAGTTCTCTCAAGCCTTGGACATGTGAGTCAGCACCTGACCAGACTATCTGATCTGGCAGCCAAGCAGTTCTTGGGTCTCAAGTGAACCTTCATTGTCTGTGAAGGCTTTCATGAAGGGAATAGGAGGCACTGGTTTGTGGACTGATTTTGTTTTCTCTCCTTGCCCTTTCCCACTAACGAGGGAGAATGCTTCACGGGGGAAACCAAGGAAAATAGGACTGCTCCGCAAACTGGAGGGGCAGCTGCAAAGCCTCACAGGCAGTCAGGCCCTGGTCATCACTTTATTTTTTTTTTTTTAATTTTTTTTTCAACGTTTTTTATTTATTTTTGGGACAGAGAGAGACAGAGCATGAACGGGGGAGGGGCAGAGAGAGAGGGAAACACAGAATCGGAAACAGGCTCCAGGCTCTGAGCCATCAGCCCAGAGCCTGATGCGGGGCTCGAACTCCCGGACCGCGAGATCGTGACCTGGCTGAAGTCGGACGCTTAACTGACTGCGCCACCCAGGCGCCCCCCCGGTCATCACTTTAGAAGGGGTTACCCCATCATTCCATTCACTTCTCTGAGGGGGAGGGAACCTCCCAAAGGGCAGATGGAGGGGGGCACAGGGCAGAAAGGTGGGAAGCGACACCCTCCACTTGACAACCCCAGAAGACAGACACCTTGTGCTCCCTCCACTCCCGAGCAAGCCCATACCCAGCTACCAGTAAGGAAACCCAGTCAGGGCAGAGAAAGCCAGGGGCAGGCTGGAAACTCCACCTCCTCATTCAGTTGCCTTGGATTTGGCGGGGAAAGTCTGGAGACATGGGTGTTTTTCAGTTTCTTGAAAGAAGATCTCGCTAGAAAAGGGCTCTGGTGAGAATACACATCAAGGCAGGTGGCATGAGTGAAGCGAAGGCCCTGTAGGCCACTGAGCCTTGTCCCCCCTCCCCCCGTTGGAGAGCCAGGAGCACGGAGGCCTACAGCGTGCATTAAGCAGCAGGGCTGAGGCCCAGAGGCTGTATGTGGGGTTGACCGGACTGGGTTTCTTTCCAGCACAGGGTCTGTGCCAGGCACGTGCCTTTGGCTTCCGCCAGCAGAATATCCAGTGAGGAGTGGCTTAAACAGGCAAGACACCTGATGGTGTCAGACACACAAAACCCAGAGAGGTGGCTAATTCAGCCACTCAACAATGTCATGACTGCAGATCAGCTTCACTGGAGTTCTGGCTTTTCTCTCCAAGTTCAAGAAAGCTGCCAAGCCCAGGCCTGACAGCCTCCAAGAAGGTTCTCGTGTCTCTGCTCGCAAGCCCACACCAGACCCTCATGTCATTGGCAGACCCAGCCACTGCAGAATGGGGCTTGCTGCCACCCTGTTGATAAGATTTATTGGGACACTAATGAGGCTTGAGCTTCAGGGCCTTGCACCACCTGGCCCCTCCCCAGGCCCCGGGAGAGGCCCCGGCATTGTGCTCCCAAGGTCGTCTGTTTTGTAAAATCTGTAAAGAAACGTTAACTGCAACTGGCAAAAATGCCTCCGTGTGCTCCTACTGTCCCCCCTGCCCCTGGGCAGTGTGCACCTTCTGCGATCCAGCTGAGAGAAGCCAAGTTGGTTCGGCACCACTTCGAGGCACAGTGAAGTTACCGTGGAGGACCAGCTTCCAAGAATGCCGGCACCAGCCCGGCCAGTTCAGCTGGTGCTGGCCCAGGGGCCGTGGCACAGCAGAAGGGTGGCCTGTGCCACCACAGGCCCGCAGGTGCACAGGAGCAACAATGAGGAAGTGTGAAGAGTCCTTCCAAGACCTCTGGCTTGGGTCTGGGGCGAACTTGATAGAGGTTTTCGGAGACCTGACAACAGCTCTACAATTCTGTGTTCCCCACAGCAAGCCGGGAAGCTGAGTAGAGCTTTCTAAAGTCTTAGTAATGAAGTTTTAGGTAAGCGTGCTGGAGAGACTGTGGGAATGTATAAAATCACTGTGCCAACAAGAGGTGATCAGAGAGGACAGAGCTGCCAAAAACTGGAGAAGAAAGGCATGACCGGCCACGTATTAATGCAAAGGCTGTCACCCACTGGTACTTCATGGCGTGTGGCATGTTAGCTCTTTTAAATCTGGAATTTATTTTTTCATTATAAATAAGTCACAATACATGTGAGTTTGTATTCACTAAAGAGTACAGTCTTTCTCAGAAAAAAGCTTCCCTTCTCTCCTCAATTATGGGAGCTCAGGCCACACAAAACCTGTATAGACCTGCCCCCAGAAAAGACCAATTTGGCGTAGCCTTTGGGCCTGAGAATCTTGCCGTCAGATACCTACAAACTGGGGTCCCACAGCCAGGGAAGAAGGGAGGGGGCTGCAGGGAGGCGGTTGGCAGGGGCTGCTGGAACAAAACGACGTGCATCGTACAGGTCTTTCTCTTCTGTAAGCCAGCCTCCCATACTACCACCCAGTGTAAATGGAACTGGCCTGTATACATTGTTCTTCCCCGATTCTAAAGATGGAGCTCGTCCGACAAAGCACAGCCCACACCCGCTGTGCGCACCACTGTTTCCCAGACTTGTGACCCTCATGCTGCAGCCTCCACAGGGTCCCCTAGGAGTCATGGGATGGAATCCCCCCGCCCCCCCCCCCCATTCAGTGGCATCTGCCGGACCCAGCCCACCCTGGTTCTGCAGTCAGACAGCTGGCATGGGTTTCCTGGATGGTCGCTCTGCTTCCTGATGTGCCACCCCACACCTCTCCGTTGGCCAGAGGCACCTGAGCAAGCAGGGGGCAGGTGGCCAAGATGTGTCTCTGAAGAAGCCCCTTGCTGAACTGTCCTGGGCTGTTCATGTCATTGTGCATTTTTAGCACTTCTTGGCCCCGTTGCTCACTGGTGGGACAAGGATGCTGGGACAAAAATGGAAACATGTCTAGAGGGCAGGAGGAAACCATACCTTCTGTCACGGTGGAGAAGTCACGAGCAGAGGCTTGAAAGGGGGGACCACTGCAGTGGCCAGAGATGTGAAGGAGATCAGAACGGAGCCTGTCCTGTTACCCAGAGGGGCAGGGGGCGAATGTGAGGAACG